GTATTTTGTTTGATGCTGGTGCTGACACAATCTTCACTGCTGAAAAGTCAGTTTACTTTTTAAATGGAACAGAATCTCTCAAGTTGCTTCTTTGGATCAAGTCCATTGTCTATGAGTATACGTTTTGAAGAATTACATTGATTTCTCAAGAAAAAGTTGGCATAAGAGCAGTGTTTAACTACTGAAGGTTACTTTTATTTCCTGATTTAATAATATGTAGTTGTTGTAATGAGTTACATTTTCAAAGTGCAGCCTTTGTTTTAGCCAGTGTGACAATCAAACTTTTATATTTAGTGGGATATTTTAGATATTTTCATAAATTACAGAAGAAGCATTATACTGTGATTATGATTGCATTTAAGGGAAAGGATCAGGGAATAAGAAAAATGTACTTTCATAAGCTTGAATATTAAAAAATAATTTCATTTTTCCAGGTTTTTTGGGGTTGATTAGCAGACAATCTGTAACATAGATTAATAATGATAAAGGGCTCACTTTGTTTTGATTTTAACACAGAACTTCAGAGCACTATGATTGACATCTATCATTGTCCCTTGGGTGATTTTTAAAGCTATTATACTGAAAAAAATGTTGATTTACCAACCAAAGTATCCCATTCATTAATTTGTCTTTAAAAACCTCAGTGTTATGACTGCTGAAACCATGTTTTAAATTTTGAAAAGACTTCAAAAGCTGACTATTAACAAGGCCTTTATTTGCTAATCTACTAGACATTCCATGTTTTGGGGAAAGTTATACTTAATTCAGCATAACAATTTCAAAAGACATATTCACAATAAAATCAGTGTTCTAGATATTAAACTAACCTCAGGAATCATTTTAAATATTTTAAATTGTTATTTTTAGAAGAATTAAATCTAGATCAATCTATAGAAAATTATCTGGCATATAAGATTGAAGAGCTTCTGAACATTCATAGTGAAATATTATCTAGTTGTTCTTGAGCTCTAATTCTTTTCCATTCCTAAGTGTGTGAAGGATAATTTAGATCAACCCTTAATGTGGACCTAAAATCACTGGAATATAAGTTATTACTAACTAAATTGCTAGTAATTTTACATGTTTACTCATGTGCTTCCCAAACAGGGCACCACAGCAAATTCACCATAGCAAAACTCACTGGGGCATCATGAGATTATTTTATTTGACTCTAATTACCTACTAAATGGAATTGTTAAATATTCTTGGGCTGGGAGGTGCCATGAAAAAATTATCAAGATACTAAAGGTGCAGAGAACAGAAAAAGAACAAAAAAAAATCTGATCAAGTTCAATATTTACTATAATTTTTGTATGCCCATTTGTTCATGATGTCATGAATTTGTGTTTTTTTTAATATTAATTTACAGTTCTCCACCATCCTTGATTAAGCACTGACCTTCTACCAGAGTAAAGGGGGGGGAAGGCAAAAAATTGACAAGAGCTTTCTCTATTATTTTGTGTTTTAAGACAAAGCTGACTGGGACTTTGCATTCATAAGTGCATTTAGAGAGCAATAAGAAATGCAACAGAGGGAGGAGAAGAAGAACAGTGAAATTCATCCAATGAATAATAATAAATCTGTAACAGCTGGTTTGATTTTTTTGTTAAGGAAAAATGTCTTTCTGTCTGTCTGTCTATTTATCATGTGAGATGAAAAATGATGCTTACAGAACACATGGCTGAACAGCAAGTACAGCTATCCAGTTGGAAAAAAAGAAAAAAGGAGTCATGACATTTCTTTACCATATCCTAATTGATTGCTTGACACATCTAATACAATTATATTTCAGTTAAGCCAGTGTTTGTTCAGTTTTATGAAAAACCATATGGTTGTGATGCCTGCATTCTACAGGACGTGCATATCACAAAATTATTCTTTCTATAATATAGCCAAATTCCCAATATAGCAATGTAAAGTATCACAAAAGTCCAAATGTTTTTGAGAAAATCAGTTTGTGTTTGGCTAAGGAAGCAAAAGGCAACTTGTATATTTTTGCCTTTATCAGCACTTTGAATTTTATCCTGGCAAAAATATTCATGTGGCTTTTTGATGCTTTTCTGCACATGTGAGGAACTGAAATACGAGTTTGTAAGACATAGGTTAGTCTTTCCTTTAAAAAGAAAAAAGATAATGTACTTTTCTTTCTCAATTTGCTTCCAGCTTTTGCCTGTTCAGCTAAGTGAATGTATTTTTTACAAAATTAAAAGCACTATTACACTCTGGTCTTGGGACCAAAATAAAGAGCAGTGTTGTTTATTTCTTTTCAAAGGCATTTTGGATTGCAAACATTTTGCAAACTTTGCACAATTGTTCAGGAGAGTGGCCTTTTTCAGCTCATTTAAGTGCATATCTATTCAGCTGAATTCAGAATGAAAACCATGCATTGAGATTGTATAAAATTCCAGATCCAGTGATCCATTTATATCACTTAGAAGAATATGTTTGTATAAACAGTTATTGATTGCATGACTTGTTATAATTTGTGGTATTTTGTATATTTCTCATATAAAAATGCTTGATCTCAAATTAATTCTGTTTACAATGTTTATTCTAAACTCTTGCTGGGCTTTTCTTGTAATGTCTCAATGCCTAATTTTTATGTGTTGCTACATAACTTCCACATAGATGAGGAATCAAGTTAGAAAACAGATATTGCTATTTTTACCATAAATTTTATGTGATACACTGAAGGCTTTTGCCAAGACACATATTATAAATATGTTTGTGATTAATATTTATTAATTATTTTTATCACAATATTTATTACAAATAGAGTGATCTGCAGTTACGAATGACTGAGTATAATAGAGAAAGTAGTGGGCATAATTCTATATCTTCAGTTCTATGTTTCTTTGATGCAGAAAATGTATTTGCTTGGGAAGTAACTTGAAAGTTACATATGAATGCTTATTTATACCAATTATTGTATTGGTATTGTAAGTATCTGGGTTCTTGATAAGTCTGTTGAGAAGCTGAAAATGTTCACGGTTTCTCAGTGTATATGTATAATCTGGGAAATTGTAACCAGCTACATCTTCAGACAGCTATAGATGTAGGTTAACATTTCAAATGCACATCATGTAGGAAAATGGGAGATAATGCAGTGCATCAGGCAGTGTATATGTCAGCCTGTTGCTATGCAACAGTTATTCTGCCTACATGATACCTTAGCAAAGACAGTTTTATGACTTTCAGGGGCAAAATTCAACTACGTTTTATATGATTTATCTAACTTGAAATAATGCTTTTATACTTTAACAAAAGCTACATTGCTGCACATTTTATTAGGTGAACTCACAGTTTAACATGGATTTCCTTTAATGCACCAAACTTTGAACTGAATATAATTATAAACTTCATTTATTCTCGGATTTCACACTGGCATACAGAGAAGTGTAAAACATACAATTCTACTCCAGCAGTAACAAAGGAGGTGGCTATTTATGCCCTTTGCAGTCAAAAGTGAATCATATATAATATATACATAGGCAGCTTTTATTAATGTGTATGTAACAAATATTTTCCCAACAGCATGATCCAATAGGACACAGAACATAGCTATACAAGAGTTATACCTCCAGACACTACTGTGTATACATGTACATATATTGCCTTGCTTAACAAACAACATTTTTACAATTATTTGTAGTTGTGGCTTTTTCCTGCTCCATAAATTTTACCAAATGGAAACAATGGAGGGCACAACTGAATATTTGGGAGTGAAAATGTTTTCACATGATGTTTATAACTACATTTTCCAAAGTAATTCCACGCAGCATTTCAATAATAGTTGAAAAATGGCTTTTTCCTAAGATGATCAGCCTATTTATGTATGTAAATAATGAATTATATAGGCATGAGAACATGTTGTTATGTGGCCATTTGATAAGACTAGATTGTAGTAAGAACAGTTGGCAAATCAGAAAAAGAATAATTGTACCTTTAAATAGAATAAGAAGACAATTAAGAATTCCTGATATCACAACAGCTCTTACAATCATATTTAATTATTTGTTTATTTCCTGGTTAAATAAAGATGATATTCCTATGAATTAACTAGCATTGTTAAACAAACGTGGACCACACAAAAATGCAAAATTAGAAGTATGTATCTTGTTTTTCATAAAACATTATTGTCCCTATTTCAGATCAGTCCTATTATAGCATAGTGAAAACCTTAACATTGCATTTCTTAGATTCATCCACTCCCTATTAGCAACAAAAATACAATTTCATACATGCTAATTTGCTGTTTTAATCAGTAACATACCTATGTTTAACCATATAGATTGTATTTTATATAAAAGATTCCTTTCTCCCATATTTGGGCTGACAGGGTGCACCAAACTCAATATATATATATTTCTTTTTCTGACAAAGAGTTAAAGAATTAAATCAGGAGACTAAGATGGCCATTTCTAGCTTGTTCTGCTTTCATCAGTTAGCCATACCCTTTATGGAGTCATAAAGATCCAGGAGTCGCGCGCAGGCATTGGCTGGTGTATAAAAGTATTTTCTCCCATTCAGTTATTTGTGCCCTGATGATGTTGGTAGATTCCAACGAAAGCTAGGTCTGTTATAGCATTTTAAAATCTTTTTAAAATTTTTAATGTTTTATTAAAACTTTTAATGATTTTAACTTTCCCTGGTATTCACTTTTATTGTTTTATTATGGATATGCCCAGGGATCATTCATCTGTTTTTAATGTTATTTGTTTGGTGCACCCTGTCGGCCCAAATATGGGAGAAAGGAATCTTTTTTTTTTTTTGACAAAGTGAGAAAGAACCTGTGGCCTAGAGGTTAATACATCTGCCTAACATGCAGACAGCCCAGGTTCGAATCTCAGAAGGGTATGTCTGGTTGAAAAGAACTAAAAAGTTCAAAATGGCTATTCCAGTTCTCCCTTAATTCTTTGTTAGCAATCCAAATTTTGAAATGTATATATATATGAATGCTTTTTTTGAACACCCTGTCGGCCCAAATATGGGAAAGAGAAATCTATATAATTGTTTAATCCCTAATAATCCATGTTGTATCCTTCCATTATCCTTGTTTTCTTAGTTCAATCACTAGGAAATCTCAACATTTGGTCGCTTTTGCTCCTGAATGTCTTTACCTTCTACTAATTCAGACAGTTCTAGCACTCCGCACTGCAATCCATACCAAGGTAAAGGAGATTTGCAGATTTCTTCCCAACAGTCATTATCAATATCATAACCTACAACATCCTGAGTTGGAATCTCCTGAGAGTCTTGCCATTTCTTCCCTCCAATAAGAATGGCTGTTTCCTCCACTAGTGCTAAACCATAACTATATCGATCATATACCAATGGCCTTAAACGGGTCCATTGATTCTGGTCAGGGTCATATTTTTCAATCTCGGAGAATGGTTCATAAAAACCTAAAAATGTAAAAACTGAATCTCGGATTGTGGTCATCTGGTGCCCAAAACGAGCAATGCTCATTGGAGCTTGTTTTCTCCATTCCCCTTCAAAATTACTCAAAGCATACATATCTTTACTTGTGTTACTTTGACCCATGTATTTGCCACCTGATATATAAATAGTGTTCTTACAAACCGTACCAGCATGGCCATGTACTTTGCATGGCAAATCATGAAGCTTTGTCCACCTGTCTTTGCTAATGTCATAGACTTCAACAGATGAATGCAATTTTTTATCTTCACTTTGTCCACCAATTGCAATGATTGCATTTTCTAAGATACAGCAAGAAAATTGACACCTTTTTTCCAGCATCCCAGTAATTTGTATCCATTTATTAAATCTTGGGTCATAGCGATGGACTTTATTTGTAACTTTCAAGATAGGACTTTTAGGATCACTTTGCATATCTTCGATTTCTCCACCAAGCACATATAGAAAGTTTCCAATAGTACATACACAATGATTTTGTATCCTATCTGGTAACTGTGTTAAATTTTGCCACTTGTGATTGTAAACATCAAAAGCCATCACTTCTGTGACAAGCCCTTCATGTGCAATCATACCTCCAAGCAGGATAATCCATATTTTCTGGTTTCTCAAAGTGCTGTATTTATCCTGCAAGATAGGCTGTTTATAAATAAGTGAATGATAGCTTATTGCTTTTCTAATTAAACAATTTATAGGAGTTGTTAGAAGCACTTCTGACTGAGTGTAGATATTTCTCAGATCTTTCACAGGAATGAGACTGTATCTTACATGTTCCAAAAGATTAGTAGTGTGGATGAGCCTCAATTTATCATATGCTAACCACTTTAATAATAGATCTAACAAATTAAATTCTCTCACCATAAGTATATCAGGAGATTCTACTACTGCTTTCAAAGACTGGAAATTCAGTTCCAGCAGACCTGCAAAATCCTGGTCTAGTAGTTTCCAGAGATTAATAATAAGATATTTTTCTGCTGCAGATACAGCGTCTGGAAGATAAAATTTTGTCGCAATATTGGCTGAAAAACAGCAGTTCTCCAGATTGAGATTGTTAGCCAAGTATTGGCTGCATAAACAGATTGCCTCAGTTACTTGTAAGTAGGTGGCAGCTTCTAAGGTATCTTCCAAGGTGGTAAAAGACAAAGGCAGCCAGGATGTATAAATGAAATCCAGAACATGTTGCAATCCAGTGGCTGAGACAACTTGCAGATGAACAACAGCAGCCATTGATTCTTTGGTATAATTCTTGAACATGGCTTTGAAGTAATCACTGGAACAGGCTAACAAAGACTTGTGTGCAGGAAACTCATTTTCTTGTACTTTTAACAGAATGTCACAGAGCAAGCCTTCATTTCGGAGAGTTTGGTATTGAGACAATACAGTACTACAGTGTCTTTTGCAATAAGACAAGAAATAAGTCATTGTGCAACACAAAATGCTCCCAAAGCTCTTTTTGCCACTGATGAGAGAAGGGGGAAAATGTGCAAAGTTCAGGTTTGAAAAAAAATCCTCTTCCCCCGATGACAGACAGCTCACATACTAATTTTACATTCCTCTCCAATTCAGCATCTGTTATTATTTCATGCATTCATTCATAAAGCTGATTCTTGTCTCATCTTTCAATATGTATTTCTCTCACCTCTATTTCCTGTTAAAAGAGAATTGGTCCACAAAATGTGAGAGTTCGTATTAGGCCAGTCTCAGATGACCAATTTGAGAGTTGGATAGCGTTAAGCTCAGATATTTCTCCAGTCTTTTCTTTCTCTTATAGATGATTAAATAGAACTTCTGGGCTTGCCGATGCATCAGGAAGCATCTGAAAGTAGGAAGAGTTATGTTTTGCTGTGGCTTTTGCCTGAGCTCTGTATTTCCCTCTTAGACAACTTTAGCTCTTATTCCCATGGGGCAACAAGCCAAGTATGGTGATCTTGCTTGAAGGAAGTCTCCACTGAAAATCAAATCAGCACCTACCGATAAGAGCAGGAAGACTTTGTGAACATGTAAACCTTTAACCTGGAGTAGAAAGATAACAAAATGCTAGGATTACTCAGAGGTTTAATTTGTCATACATTTTAGAGCCCTTTGGCTTATATGTCACTATAACTCACAGTGACCAGAATAGATTGCAAACATTGCCTGTTATCATAGCTGTCCAAGTGCTGAACTGAGCATTCAGGTGGGAGGGAGAGAGTGAGCAAATGAGGGAGGATAAAGCAGTTATTTTGCAAGGAGTGCAGTTCAAAGCATCTGACAGTGAGTGACTTGGATGGAAATCACAAGAGCAACATAGTTCTTTGGAGGAGTGACAGAATTATACCTAAAACTGTATCCTCCCAACGAATCTGTTTATTGTGGGATCTTGGAATATAGTAGCCAGATGACATATAAGTAACTAGAGATTAGTGGCTTTTCTAAATATCTGGGGCTTAGAAAATCCAACCCCTCAAAAAAATAAAATAAAACAGCACCTGCACATCCACATTGAGATGATTTGCTTGAGTCTGAGAATCCTTGGGTCAACTGACTTGATTTGCTTTCACAATTTTTTATTCCAAGTAAAAAATGCTAGCCTAGAAATAAGAAAGCTCACACAGTTCTGAGGCATAATTATTTGCAGGCACAAGGATCTGGAAAGGATCTGTCTTACTGGTAAGTCTCACCTTTTGATAATGCAGTGGGAAATTTTTCATGATAATTGATTATGTGTCAGCTATTTAGATTATGAAGTAACAGCTGATTGTACAAGCCATTCAAGTTTCCTAAGAGAGTCTGATTTCCAATCATAAGCATGAGTAATATTTTTAACAGCTTCATCATATATCAATATAGGCAACTTTCCTCTTTTTTGCATTCTTCAATTTTAAACTTTGCTGCATCGATAGTGGTCATATGCTAAACATCTCTAATTTTTGTCTCAGAACAAAATTAATCAGTTTTTAAACTGCATGAATTTTAATTGTAGAAAGTGAATTGTATTTTTCTAGTAACTCTCTTATTTTAGAAATATTTTCCTGTAAATGCAAAATTAACACAACAGGGGAAATTAATATAAACTACCTTTCTCTCTTTTATACTGGTATAAATAAATGACTTTTCTTTAATATGAAAAAGCCAGATATTTCAATCATATGATACCTTTTCGTTCAGTCTAATTTTGAAATGGTATAGCTCTGAGAAAAACTGCACCATACTTTGATTACATGTTTCTATTTATATTATGTTTACAGTGTTTGTCCCACTCTTTTCATTTAATCATTTAATGTAGCTTAAAACGTTAAAAATAGTACAAAACTTAAAATGTTAATGACCCCCACCAAGTAGGCAGAGTTGGAAACTACATCTTCTAAAATGTACGTGGTGAAAACAGTGCCTTTCTTTAAAACAGATCTGATGATTATTTTGTGGCTAGAGCATCTTATTTATGTAAATGGCAATCCAAACACAGGAATCTGAACTTCCTTATTTTCCCCCCCCCCAACTGCTTTTTAAAAGAATTAAGAGCAAAAAATGAGTTATTCCATGAAAATACATTAAATGATGTATGTGAAAAGTGAACTTGGCCAGAAAGTTTGGGTTTCAGTCAGGACAAGGAAGATGACCCTATATTGTTTCATGCTGCTCATGGTTTCACCCCCACCATTTCTAGGAAAAGGACCAAAGTAGCCAGTCGCAAGTTCTGGAGAGCCAATCCCATTTAAAAAGGATAAAGAGAGTGTCAAACTATTTTCCAGAGCACCAGAGGGCAGGACAAGAAACAATGGTTGGGAACTGACCAAAGAGAGAAGCAACCTGGAATTAAGGAGAAACGTCCTAACAGTGAGGACAATTAATGAGTGGAACAGCTTGCCTTCAGAAATCGCTCCATCACTGGAGGTTTTTAAGAAGAGACTAGACAGTTACTTATCTCAAATGGTATAGGTTCTCCTGCTTGAGCAGGGGGCTGGACTGGAAGTCCTCCAAGGTCTATTCTATTCTATTCTATTCTATTCTATTCTACTCTACTCTACTCTACTCTACTCTACTCTACTCTACTCTACTCTACTCTACTCTACTCTACTCTACTCTACTCTATTCTATTCTAATGTTCAGCTAGGTGGACAAGAGTTCAGGCTTGCTATATAGCAACTATCTGCAGTGCCTCTTCATGTGTTTTGGTTGAATGACTAGATAATCTTATAGATATTTCTCAAAAATATTACTATTGCTTGCTTGTGAAAATCCAACAAATTCAACATGACATCATTAATTTCTGCCCTCTAGAAAACTCAGACACTAATTTTAGTAATCATTCTTGAACAAAAGTACCACAAAGATAGATTTTCTTACAAAATAAGTGAGCAACTTATTGTCAGATGCTTCAATTCTATCTTCATTGGCCTGAACTGGGAAAAATGTTACATCACAGCTTATTTTTATAAGAATGTCTGTGTCACAGCCTAGATGGGCTTTGGAAATGGGCTGTGTTAGTAAGATAATTTTCATGATTTGATATATATATTTCCTCCTGAGTTCTTTCCAATCTCTTTTTCCAATAATCCAATCATGACCAGAAAGTCAGTCATTATATAACTTCTAAGCTCAGGATAATACTTTATAATACTGTATAATACTTTATACTTTATAATACTGTAGCTGATGTCACCAAAGCTTATGTCTTATTAAATACACATTTTAAACGCCACATGTTTCCTTTGTTTTTATTTATCAGCATATATAAAACCAGAATGTGTAAGCAGCGGAAAACTACAACATTTTAAAATGTCCAGTTTTCACTCTGGCAAGATTGAAAAACCTGACCTACAAATACTGCCATTGCTGAAGACAGCATTTGATGCCCTGAATTATAATTGCTTGCAAGGCTGATTCAATGCCTTTTTATATGTGGATTAGGTAAGAGAACTGCACACATGGTTCTTACTGCATCTTGTGGGCAAAGAAATTAGGAAGTGATATATATTAAATGCTTCAGCAGAGATGTGAGGCTAAAGAACTGAAAGATCAACACAATTATTTGGTTTCTCAATCACATGAAGTTTTGTTTTATTTATTTATTTTACTGGCAATGATGTACTCTTGGGTTGTTTTATATTTGTTGTAAGATAGTAAGCGATATTCAAGGAACAGCCAGGATTCTGATAAGTTATCAAGTTCATGTTCAAGCCATGCTCCATCCTTTGGAACTGTCATTAAAACAAAAGTAAAAACATGGTAAGATATTAATTTTTTTAAAAGAGTGTTATTTCACTTTGGAAGTCCTGAAAAGTTCAAGTGATACCAATAAAAAAAGAATATTTCAAGTTCAAGTGGGAAATCCTTCATTAAACCACAGACATGTCTTGGTGTCTTATACTCTTATACTCTGCCCGCATCTCTATTCCCAACAGCAGCATAAATGAATTGAGGCTCTTGAGTTAGAAAAAAGTTAAGGATTTCCATGAGTTATTTTCCATTGTTCAATATCATCCGAGGCTGAAACTTTAAGCATACTATTAGAATCAATCACATTCATGTCCCTAGTCTGTGTGATCAGAAGCACCTCAGAGAATGCATTCATTTTGTATTGCTACAATCCATGTCACTCTGAAACTGAGCTTAATTGACTGACCTCCCAGGAGACATTCATTCATGCAGAGCTACTGAAGCATTTCACACACTCATTAAATATGAAGTCTATGGCTGATAGGTGAGTGCCAGGTGAGTGCCAACCATGATTTCTCCTGGCTGACTTCAGATAATCCATAGTGTCTAGAGGTAATGACATGCCAAACTACCAAAGATCCAAATGAATGGCTTTGAGAAATTATTGGCACTGCATGAAAAAACAACTTATGAGCAATTTAGTCTAGTAGCAGGGAAGCAATGAATTCCTAGGAGAAAATACTGCAAAAGTGGAAATAGAATCAATAAATTGCCTCTTAGTCAACCTATTCTGTCAGTTTCATGTTAAATAAATCTGTTTAAGAGAATGTCTTATCATTTTACAATACAGTGCATTGCAATCCAATATACGTCCTTATCTTCACCTCTTTATAATTTGGCAAATATAAAAAGTTATTCCCCAGAATGATTGCTGTCACAATAGATCCATATCAAAAACTGGGATGACAGGACATCCTTTCTCATCATTGCCAATTGCACAGTGTTATCACTGGAGATTGGCAGCTGTGCACTAACCCTGAGCCAATGCCATTGTGTCAACCTTAGAAAAACTATTTAACATAGTAAATGCAGCTTGAGAAAGAGCACCTTATTGCTGCCTTGTGCTTAAAAGAGAAGAAGTGGGGCTCTTGTTCACTCTGGCCTTCTGTCTTAGCATTATATTGACATGTTTAGGAAAAGTGCCCTAAATGCAGGATAACTGGTGCACAAGTACTTCAGGTTGTTGGAGTTTGGAAGACATGTCCTCTACTTGAGTATATATGACCATGCATATTTATTTGGTATAGTTTTAATTGTTTTGATATTTTTAT